TTCAGAAAGAAAACACGTATTTGTGAAATGTTCTCGTGTGAAATAATTACTTTGTGAAATATATTTTACTTGTGAAGCATCCTATTTATAGTGAAATATTCTATCCCCGAGAATTTTTCTTCCTCTTTAAATATATTCAACGATATCAAATTATAGTTTGATGTTTTATTTCAATTTTATTTCATTAGACTGAAATTCAAAAGTGAAATTTTTGGACTTAATACAATTCAGTTCAGTCAATTATATTAACATCTGTACTTCTACGACAATTACATGCATTTTACAACAGTGCATGATATATGGTATTTAAACTATTTTTGAATCTATTATCTAAAATATTTATCGATAAAAAACATTTATATAAATCCACGTAAAGTCTATTCATTTTTTAGAAATTAATTAAAAAAATTAAAAATAGAGATGTATAAATAGAAGTATATCTAATATAAATAACTCTTTACTTTGCATATAAACAACCATTTCTCTTCTTCGACAGAAAATGTCGGTAACATAGTCGTAACATGCAAGAGCTTATTTATCTCAGACATCGAATTTACTTAGAAAAATGTATGGTAAATAAAATTTATCATACCCTACTTAAAATATCCTACTTAAAGGAAACACTACCATCAGTAGAAAATTTAATGCACAAAATAAACTCGATAACACGTTGAATTACAATGTAATATATGTTACAATATTTTTTTAAAAAATTTCTATTAACGTGTATATACGACTTTGAACTATTTTAAGGTATATTATATACGATACATATTTTTACAGTCTATGTAAACTGTAGTTTTATGTAACAAGAGCATATAACTTCTTTCTCGACATCATAAATTTTCTTAAATATTAATCAATATATTTGATGGAAATATTTATTTAAGTTCTGAAAAGAATGTTAAAAATTTACGAGGAATATTAATGATTGTTGCCTCATTTCCTAAAGAATTTCACACAAATGCTTTCGCCACTTAATGTCGCGTTTCTTAAGAAAGATGCATTCAATACCCGTCATTAACGCTTATAAATACTTTTTCACACCATAAGGCGTTAATGAATTCTAGAAGTAGTTTCTACTTGAAAGATATGCAGTCTTGTTTTTTTCCTGATGATATTTTATGAAGACACTTTACCAATCCATCACTTGTTTTTCTACATATTAGCATTAAGGAATTTTCGTATTCAGTAGGTAAGAATAAAAAATAAATAGGGTTAGCGCAAACATTTTTTTATCGTTGTAAAAACCTAACTTTTATCTTACTTTTTCGAATATATTATTCATTTTATGCATTACTTAAGAGAAGAAAAAATGAGAATAATTTTCTTTCTTTTGTACAGAATTTCTGCAGTTGTGAAAATAAAAACAAAGATCTTAAGAATAATAAGCATTCTTCATTGCATTAGTTTCTAACTCTGTCTCCGCATTTATTTAAGTTTGCTGAAATCATATAGAGTATGTTTACTCTACTTCTTGTAAGTGCATTTGTTTAAAATTGCTTAGTTCTAAATGTTTAACATCTTGCGTAAGAGTTCAGAATATTTCCTTTGTTCTCCGACAATTTTAATCAAATAATATATTGGTTATGAAAAAGTGAGTTAATAGATTTAATGAATAGCCGCATTTTTCTCTTAATGTTATATATTGATACTTTTTCCACCTTATTTATAATTAGCTTTTCACATAGTAAATATAATGTATTTTGATTCTAAATGATAAATAAATATTGAGCCTAAATCTTGGATGCAGCTGTTTATTTAGCAGAGTTTACATTTATCGTGTAACGTAATTCTTTAGATATTAGTCATATTTATTTCTTTTTTGGTTGTTTCTTCCAAACCTGAAGCAATATCTTTGTAGAATTTTAAAAATAAATAAAATAAAATAAAATATTCATAAAATATTCTTATTACTAAAATGTATTCCTAATTAGTCTGGGAAAACAATGAGATACATAAAAATATCTGCTTCAAATTTGTTCTCGTGGAGAAATATGCTTTATCGAATGTTGTTACTTCTAGTTTTGGTGAATTCATCGGAGATAATTTCCAAATAAGTTTCTTTGCGGCAAAAAAAAAAAAAACAGATGATCATGTGCAGCTGACAAATTTAACTAATATATAAACAGATTTTAATTTTTTTTCTATCAAATAACTGTTACTTAAATTATGTAGCATAAAGTTTTGTTATTTTGATAAACGTTGATCATTTTTCCATTTAAAAACAAAGTTGATCTCTTTTATATTCACAAACATATTAATTTGGATAGAAACTGTCTATTTATAAGTATCTACTTTCTAGATTTATATATATCAACGAGCCGCCAAGGTTGCGTGGTTGGTTTATCACTCGCATTCAGCACTTAAGGTCGCGGGTTCGACACCGGCAAAATTTGATGGATTTTCATGATGCAGAAAATTGACAGAGGCTATGTCATATGATTATACGGCAAGTAAAAGAACCCTAGAATGTCTGTTTGGTTTGTGTCCTTTCAGCAAAACTAAACTCTAGTACAGGTTCGCATCGTCAGAACTCAGGGAGGAAACCGGGCTTCAAAATTACCCACGGCAATTGGTTTCTGCCTATATGTTGTCACACTATAAAGAGATACCAGCTTTCGGGGGAGTGCATTAGGTTTGCAGTGATAAAGCACCAATCCACAACCCATTATATATATATATATATATATATATATATCAATGAAATTTTATATATTTTCCATAATACGCACATTTATACATTACTCACTGTACAGATCATATTATGTAATAAGAAAACCTTAATAATTATTTGATATTATTCTTCATATTACTTTTAATGGCTTAAATAAATTATCAAATTTGCAGAGCTATAGAAAAGTACTACTGGAAAACTGTCTTGCAAGGAAACTCTATGTATGATGTGCCATGGAATCAGAGAAACTTTGAAAGCCAAGCTGAAGAATGGTAGTCCAAAAATTACCACCATCATATTACCAAAAGTTTATCCATATTTTAATCCAAACAAGCGCTCTGAATGATCTGTTGTTCGATAATCTCAGAAACGATCAATAGGTGATAAATCCGGAGGATGTACACACCATGGAAGAAATAGGACATTTATTACACTGAAAAAGAGCCTCATACATTCCGAGCCAAAACTGTAGGAAAATTATCTTGGTGAAATGCAGCTCTATAAACGCATAGCACGAAAGACAGGACTTTGGACTTAACAATTTTTTTTGATGAAGCGCTTGCTATGCAGGATTCCTGTAATTTGTGATGGTGAAATCACTTGTGATATCTAATGACATTCAAGGTAATAATAGAGTATAACGCTGGATATGGTACTCAGGTAAAAGACGTTTGCATCTTGCATAGAATGAATAATTGTTTACGATTATAGCTCAGCTTGTTGAGAAACTCATCTAAGAAGAAGACTCGGAAACAAACGCTATGACGATGATTGAATTGGTAAGTTAATTTTAACCTAATGCCATTTTGGGCATCAAAAGAATCGCACGCATAGAATCATTGTTCCTCACTCACGGCTCGCTACACGTCAATAAACTGTAGGATTGGACACTGAAACATATGTAGAAAAATGCCAATTGAACTATGAAACTCTGTATGATGCGTCAACATAATGCGGATGAAGTGCTTATTATCCCATGATGGTGAGATATTGCGTGGATTATAGTAAGGAATTTAATGTATTCGTTTTACCATGGTAAATCTAACACCCATAATTGCTGTCGCATTACGCCTCGTACTTTCATCTATTTCAGGATACGGAATCAGTCTTCATAGATTCCGCTCATGTGGCTTCGTTCGAGCTTCATTAAGTGCTCGTACAGAATTTGTGTTTTTTACAAGGCATATTGGCTTTCATTTAATCATTTACAACAGTCAAAAAAGGATATTCTCATTTCAAAGGAGATTTTTATGCAAAACTACCTTTAATTACAGATAATTCTCAATATCTGTCCGATTGCTTTCTACTTAATACAAAGCATGTCTTTAAATTTTTTATGCAAGACTTTTTTCAAAATATAAAGGAAGTTTCTCTACATATGTATAATTGCTTTCTAATGCTAATAACTTGCATAAACACTATAGCATGCTTTGTACTTCTATCAAGTTTCTTTTAAAGTCCTTAGTTTCTTATCGATGTCGAAGTTTTCACAAACAGTAGTGTATGTACTAGTCATACAGCTTGTTTGCGAGTTGGTAGTGAAAGTTCCCAGATGGATCAGTATGATTGAAATGTCAAGACTCGTAAAGAATTGGTCTCGTTTGGAAATGCGAGCCGTGATTCCATTTTTATGGGCAAAGAATGTGTCCACATCTGCAATGAGCAGGCAACATGCAGCAAACTTGTGTCACTCTTTTCAATCTGGCAGGTATGATGCCGAAAGACGCAATATGACAGGGAGAGGCCGGCCAAGTTTTTCAACGACAAAAATCAACAAGTCACGAATTGAGGAACTGATTCAAAATGATTGACGGGTAACTGTGCATGAAATCTCTTCAGGGCCTGGACTGAGCTATGGTAGCGAGCAGCATATCATTTCTGACGTGCTGCGATATTCCAAGACAGTGCAGTAAAAACATCCACCGAGACCTGAGTGATGGACCGGGACCTGATTTCTACCAAGACGGGTTAAGCAAGTTGGTTCTGCAATCTGACAAATACCGAAATAGACTTGGTGGTTATGTCGAAATGTAATAAGCACGTATGTCTCTTAATTCCATTTTGTATTTTTGTCTACTCTTAATAAATATTCTTTATTATATTTGTAACCTTATTTTCTGATCACCCCTCGTACATATGACTGAATCACTCTATTAAGTGACAGAATAAAAAGAGATTCCCCTCCCAATTTTTCATTTTCCTTTTTATATTTGGGGATGGAATATTTTTTGTTGATTTGTTACTTTGGATTCATTAATTAAATTTAATTATTTTAAAAGAATAGCAAGGTGTAAAAATGGAATCACATTCTCAGAACTTAGGCCATTCCAAGTGGCATTCGAATCCACGACCTTTGAATTAGAAGTCCAACGAGCTATCAATTGCGCTGCAGGGACAAAAAGAATGCTTTTCTTCTCTATACATGCTGCTGGACTATTATTTTTGTTTGTTACTATTTATTTCTTTTTAATTTAATTAATGAATTAATGTTTGAAAAAAACTGTATTAACATTAAGTGTTAGCCACTACAAGTTCAAAAAAAATATAGTTGAACTTGAAAGGATAAATAGAAAAAAATTTATTAACGATTGAAAATTTGAACAAGATATATATATATATAGGGAGAGAATGAACTAATAATAGAAATTGAAAAATAAGGTATTGTATTTTTGTTTATGAAATTCTTTGCATACGTCCTAATCTTATACTAAGTACTAGTTAGAATTTATGCAAGTGGGTCTCAATTCTTACCGAAAGCTCCAAAGTAGCTGAATAGCTCATAAGTGCATAAGTGCTCAGAAGTGCTTTTTAAATTAATGAATTCCATGTATTTGTTCAGAATCTTTGACACTCAATACAACGAGTGTTGCAATACACATAAGAAAGAGTGAATCAACTAGACTTAAGTACAAAGTTTAATGTAACACCCAAACAATTATTGATTAAGGACAATAATGCGAGTTAAAGATAGTGTTAATCGATTCAACTTTCTCCTCTGTGGATAACTTAAATATAATGGAAAATTTGATTAAGCAAGAAAGCAATATACTTACTTTATATCACTGAGGATCAAAAACAGTAGGAGTCAGAGGATGTTATTGTAAGATGATACCATTAACCCTCCAACTGAACAGAACGGATTTTTCCGCCCTACTAGAGTGGCTTCGAAAATGGACTGCACGGATTTTTCTGCCTTCAAGTAACGTTTTCAAAAGCGGATTAGCCGCACTTTTCTGAAATCCTTTCCCCTTTTAGGGTTTAACATCTTGAAAGATAATGAGGGACGGAGGAAGCAACACAGCGGAGTTTTATGGCTCGCAGGGAACCCCGTGTTTTGACCCCGCCCCCAATCGTAAAAAATCGGGGAGAAATTTCTTTACAACCCAAGAAGTGTTTGCTAGCTTGTATTTTAAAAGTTTCCAAAAGTCCCAACGCATAAGTAAAATATGTTACAATTCCCTTTTGGTTTCATATTAATTTCAAACTGTAACAAGTTGGGGCGTGTCAGGGCAATCTGCTATTTTATATAGTTAGACAAATTATCTTTTAAGTATATTCTTTCGCTTCATTTTTCTTATTCAAAGCTTTCAGTTTTTGAAACATGATTATTTTATTATAAGATACCGAAAAAAATTAATAAAAACATCAAACTCTTTTAAAATTTGGAACCTTTTCAATTTTCCAACCACTAAAAAGTGAATAAATTTAAACTTCATCAAATCATTTGAAACATTTTCTTACACTTTGATAAAAATAATAACGAAAAAAAAACTAATTAAGATTTATTAGTTTTTTTTTTTTTTAGATTTCAAATCCTAAGTGTTCAGGTAAGTTTAAGTACAGTGCCTGGTTATATATTGTTAAAATACACCGAATTATATTTGAATTTTAAGTGCTTGAACTTCAGTTTACATCAAAGACAACATGAATGAAGATTTTCACACATTTCTTTTATAACTGGAATGTTTGGATAAATGGTAATCAAAAATATATACGGAAACATTTACAGTAGACATTTATATGCATATAAATAAACATAAAAATCAATTTTAAATTCGAGCTATTGAAAAACATTCGAATTATATATTGTTCAAAAATATCTATTTATACAAAATACCTCAACATTTATCTTTTTTAAAGGCTAACTGAATAAGTAATTAAAATCTGGATATGTTTTGAAATCTCGACCTTATAAAGCTAGAAATTTTATGTTAGAAATTCCATTTGAAATTTCGAAAAAAAAATGCATCGCGCAGTTAAAAATTATTTACCATAAGTTATAGCAATTGTTTGAGTATAATAAAAATTTCAAATTTTATTATATAGCTTCTTTGGTATCTTTTAATATATTTCGGCCGCGGTAGCCGAGTGGTATAGGTATCGGAACATGGCTTGCTTTATCACGAGTTAGAGCCCAGTACCACTAAAGACCCGCCGTGTAGGGCAGCGATGCACGTTAAATCTGTCGAGAGCTGAAACGTCCTCCCGTTGGTGTGGTGGGGTAGTTAGGAGAGGGGGGTGCCAGCTCAGGTGTCGTCCACGTCACTTGACCATGGTTCAAAATTACGTGGTCCGTCGCCAAAAGCCCTCGTGTAGCTGAACAGTGCGACGTTAATATCCAATCATTCATTTAATATATTTCGAAGATTTCATACAATTCGGTTGAAAACCGCATGCTAAGAGCAAAAAATATACTAAAAAAATTGATGAATATACAATTACAATAAATTCTTACATAGAGAAGCAAAACTGAGAAGCTAAAGCGTAGGAATAAAAAATTTTGAGTATATCTGAAGTAGTTTTCGAAATATTTATTTTAAAGTTTAGAAAATTTGTGTGCGTTATGTTATACTTGATATCAATTAAATGGTTAAAATAATGTGTGTGTGTGTGTTAATATTAGTTATGTAATCGTATGATCACACATTCATATACTAATAAAATTATCATGGTCATTGATGCAAATGTCAAGAATTTTATGTAATTTTATATTCAGACATTAAGATATTGATGTAGAAAATATAAAACGACCATCTAAAATACATGAAAAATGCAGTCTGCTATAAAATGATCTTGACAAACAAAATCCGGCATTTTCACTTACTATGGCAGAGCCGGCTTAGTCAGGGGCGATCTGGAAAAACAGAGAGAGAACCGCGGTTTTGATGGATGCCGCTCTAGCTTTTAAAGCTCCCAGGAAAAAAATATATATATATATAAATTACAAATGCAAAAATAAATCTTGTAATTTTCCATACATTTTTATAACAACGAATTGTGGAATTGGCTTCCAATACATTGTTGTGTTTGACAATATCTAAGGTAACCAACCTTACTTTAGATAGATTTGTACTACTTTTTCGTAACCGTATTCCTTTTAAAATTAATTCGTGCAGCCGAAATACACCTTTTGTACCCTTAAAAATTTATGTTAACTATAACGGTTAATTTTAAATTATGCAACTTGTGAAATGTTCATAATTAACCATTTCCGTCTAAACAGTTTACATGAAAAAAAAAGTTTGGACTCCTTCATTCATTAGGGATTTATATAAGATTCTAACATTATAAATTTTATTTTTCACCGAATAGGATTGAGTGAAAGTGTATAGTGCTTCCACACCATAGGTCTGGGGTTCTATTAACGGGCTGCGCAAGGTCGACTCTGCCTTTCATCCCCGCTACATTGGGTCGATAAATGAGTACCAAGCTTGCTTCGGGTCTTAAACACTGAAGGTCTCTCTTCAGACAGACCACCAAATCGGGACATCTGTTCATGCACCTCAGCGTCCAATGGTCACGTGTATTATGATGGGCACAGTAGTTCCTGGCCCTCATGGATTGTTGTGCTTCTGAGTTTGAGTCTTAAGTTTGAGGATTACCTCACTTTGGGGATACCCCTTAGATAAACATGTATTTCCACTCATTTGCAATTAAACATTTTTCTTTTCAATTAAGTTTATTTCAGAACGAAGTTTGATTTTTCAAATGTATTTGCTTAATAACATGTATATTTTGTGTGTGTGTGTGTGTGTGTGTGTGTGTGTGTATTATATTAAAAATTTGATCAGTCCAAAATTACATGTTTTTAGCTCCTCTAATACCTTTTAGGATTTTACAACTGGTCTTACAATCCATATACGTTTTATAGTAGTATATTTAAAAATGCTAAGGACATTTTTACGACTGTGTGAGCTGTGATGCCTCGTTTATAAATATAAAAAATTGCATTCAGCTACAGTTTTTAAAATGTACAGAAATAAGTGGAGCAAGAGGATACTTACATATTATGAATATTTTTGACTGCAGTAAGATATATTTATATTTCAGTTTCTTTACAATTTGAATAGAAGTTGTAAGCCATTTTGCGAATAGTTTGATATTGAGTATAAACCCATAGGCTGTTTAAAGTTGTAAAGTGTTTTACTTTGATACCAGCACACATTAAAATAAGGCTCATTTGCAGTTATATGATCAGCTTCAGTGATATTTAAATTTTCAAAATAGTCTATACGTACGAAAACATTCTTTACAACCGCACACCACATCTCATACTATATCTTCCCTACAGCAGGAAATATTTGTGTATACTGAAAATTTAATACAGGATACATTTCCAAGTGTTAAATTTGTTTTTAAAATTTGGTATGAATACATTGTGGAGAACTGTCGGTTAACTTCACTGAACAAAATTGTTTTAAGTGTACTGTTTTGAAAGACAAGATTAATTAGGGAGAACTTTTCTCACAATAGAATTTGTAATGACTGAATTGTGTGAAAATGTAGTTATCGATGTGTGACATTTTTCCTTGTAATAAAAGAAACAGAAAGATAAGAAATTTAATTTGAGTAGAAAATGGTTAGAAGTACTGTCATGCGCATTTGAAGAAGTATATCCCCCATTAAAATTAAAAATTATTGACTGAATGTGTGTTATGTCCATCACAAATGCCGATGTAGAAAAGGAATTTTTATTTAATACAAGAAGTTCGAAAAAGAGAACACTAGGAAGGAAAATTTAAATTTTTTCCGAAAAATATTCAGTTAACATAAAAATATCTTTTATATGATTTTAATTAAAATAAATTAAAAGTATAACTGAATAGAGAAAGATCGGTTTTATTTCATAAATATAATCATTGTATATAATATTTATTGTGTTATTGTTTAAAAATGAGATAGGGCCTTTGCTCTTTTTACCTTATTACTTTTTTTAAAAAACAGGAAAGTGAGCGCGTTTTCTTACTCTTATATTCAAAAATGAATACAGGATGCTTTTTTCTGGTTCAAATCGCAATACCAAATATATATATATATATATATATATATATATATATATATATATATATATATATATATATATATATATATATCATATATATATATATCAGCTCAA